CATAGATGACAAGACCTTGACATTAATCTTCAATGCGACGTTTTCCATATACTGCTTGTTCAGTTTACGAGCTTGATTTGGTTGACAACACTGGGAAACAATCCCCAGCTCCGTTTCACATATCCTTTTGATCTTTCCTGCATACATAAAACAGGCCATGAAACCAAATTGTTGGAATAATTTACACCAAATAATACCAAACAATTGCACAAGCTTACCATATGATCCAGATTGATCGGGCAATATGACAATCAACAGTTGAAGACCGGTTGCTCTTTTGTGAATATCCCTTAGGGCGTCCTCAATTCTTTGAGGTGGACAAGAGATGAAGGGAATAGCAGGTTGTGGGTTAAATTCCTGGCATTAAGGATAAAATTTTGTTAGTGATTTTTATGGTTTGAATAACTAGTGACAAGAAGTACTCGATAGAATGGAACAAGTCAGACCATTCCTTTGCTGACGCACATCCCAATCAATTGTCTGCAGAAATCCTGGGGTAAATTACGGTCAATCCGCGTAGAGAAGCTTACACAAGTCCAAGAAGCAACTCTTGCTCCATTAATCATTTTCTAGAACATAAAACCACAATATAAGCATTAGGCAGATCTTCATAACCAACGTTGTATTCAATATCCCCAATGCAAAATAGTCTAACTTTTAAGTACAATATTTATCAAAACAAGATAAATACAAACATACTTCTGAATTAGTTTCAAATACCTAAAGCGAGCAAACAAAGGCAATATTTTATAATAGCTAGTTAATTATAGATTAACCTTGTCAATCATATTCCACTGTCCCAATCTTGGATTCACCATTTTTTCTTTACCACTTTCATGATATTTCAACTGTAGACAGAAACAACATTTCATGATGAGGAACATTGACAATAGAAATCGTATATCAAATTATCACATAAATGAAATCGATAAAAAAATCACCATTGGAGGAGGAAGTACACGAGCCTCAACCGAGGATAGCTGTTCAGTCACTGACATCCCAAACTCCTCGCTGACAAGCTTGCTCTTGTTAAATTTATTATCCTTGACCATCTAATAACAGAAAGAATATACGTGATGATGAAAATTATGGACTCTTTGTATCCGAAGGACGAACTATTGTAAATGTGATGCAAAAGAGGACTAAATAAACTTACCCCTTTGATCGCATTCTCTCTTTCTACAGGTCGTTGGCAAGTAGCTTTTAGCATCGCAGTCACTTGCTTCTCATTAAGCCGTTTGGTGTATCGCTGACCTTCAGCTATTCGACAGAGCTACAAAAACCAGTAACAGCAAGATCATTAATGATACAAAAATGAATTTAAGAAAACGATGAAGGTAAACAAGTACATGTTCGAACTGAAATCATACCTCCATCGGCAAGTAAGCAGGCTTTGAGTCACTCCCTGATTGGATAGCAGGCAGTGACGGGTATTTCACCCTATAGTTGTATCTCTCAGCAAAATACTGTATAACTGTCGTCTGGGTATTGTCCTCAAGAGTGAAACTGAAATGAGTAGAGAAAAAGTAATATCAGCTACTACTTTAAAACCAAAAGATACGAAACATATTCCAAGAAAAATGTAAGGTAATTTGGTT